TTCATAATCCGGTGTTTGAATAAAGTGTTCTTATTATTTGGGCTGACAGGAGAATCCCCCAGGGCTGGATTAGGAGGCCCAGAGCATTTTTTTTTTTTTCAATTTTATTCTTCTTGTTTTTTTATTTTTTTAATCTTTTATTTATAACAGGAGTTTTATTTGGGTGTACGGTCATAAAACATAATCTCGTGTGGAAATACTGTTTGAAGCAGGCCTTTAGGCCCAGATTGGAACAAAATGAACTTTGTCTTTATTTAGTTTTGTGTTTAAATTTTTTCTGATGTTTACTATATATGATTATGTTACTATTTAATATAGAAGTTCATTGGTAAGTCGTGCTATTTCATCTCAACGGGCTCATTTTATACACACTTAACAAACTTTATCTTAGAAATTAAGACTTTCATATCTGATAATACATGATAATTTGAATAAATATATTTTATTTTAATTTGTTAAACAGCAATAAGATCGTTGTGCGTTTTTAAAAATCCGTTTATAATCTTTTTAAGTTGAATTTTTTACATCAAAGGGGATGGAAACAGCAGAATCATCAGATGCGTTGTGCGCCCCCAAGTGGTGGACAGAAGTAACTGCAGCACGCTCCGGTCTGCGCATGCTCCGTAACAAAATGATCTACCGTGAACGTAGTTCGTTACAAAGGTAGTTTGTTTTTAAATCTACTTTAGTAAATGTTTATGCTCAATTAAAAAAAAGTTTTAATAAAAAAACTTCGATAAACCGGAAGTAGCACCAAGACTTCTGTTGTTTCCTGTGACGTAGCACTAGCTCCTGATGCTACACGCGGGAAACAGGCGAAGCTGCGCATCTCTGTCATTGTAAGACGTCAAGTTTTCAGATTACCTTTTCTTATGTAGTTAAAACTAGTTTGCGAGTTAACGTAATCATTTAATAGTGATATAAGGATATTAGCTTTAATTAGTTTATTTCTGTACTATACAAGCAATATAATATGACWTGTTTTCCAAAGCCGGCCTAGTTTCTTTTAGTGCGCTCGATTGATTGTACTTTATGTCTTAGCGGGGCGGTGCCACAATTTCGCTTTCTGTTTTCTGCTCATGGCAGCACGTTTGGTTAAACGGCGTACAACAAAACAAGCGCACCTCGAGCACTTTCAGTCATCTTAGCAGGAGCGTCGCTTGGTTAGCACTGAAAACAACGTGATTAAAGCTTTTATTTGAGTTACAGAGCAACAAGTAAAAACTTCCTCATTTTGATGGTAGCAGCTTGTTGATGGAGTTTAAACTATCAAGTTGTTGAATWTAAATGTAAACAAATCAAGGTGGTTGTGTTTATAAAACATATTTCTGCTTCTTTATGTTAAAACTGGGTCTGTGGTATTTTTTAATTAAAATCAAAGTATAAGAGTCTTTAAATATTTAGGTTAACCTGACGACCATAGACCATAGCGTTAATATTACTACTACAAGCTTTAGTATTTTGTATTTTTATTCTATTTTTTATAGCCTTATTTTCAATATTTACTGTATTTTTTTCTTTACTTTTTTGTCTGTGTAATCTTGCTGCTGTAGTGTGATTTACCTTTGCAGGTGGTCAATATATCCCACCTTACAAGTGACGTTTGTGAGTTATTTGTGTTTCTTCTGTCTGCAGAGCAT